AAAGCTTTTGTTGATCAATGTATCCTTGTACTGATATAACACCAATTGTGTCCCTCTCTATTTCTTTAGGCATACGCTTATTAAAACCCTGGATTTTCTTACAAAAATAGCGTTGAGTGATTTCTAGCATTTCATATTCCTTTAATGATAGTTTTCCCCACACATTACATCCATATAAGCCACAGGGTAATATCACTCGTTGCCAGATGCGCACGGCGGCTATAGGATTAAGTCCACCAAAGTACAGGCCAGAATCATGGTTTACATTTATCAATTTTCTCAGTTTTTCACATGCTAACCTCGTTCTTTCTACCGAAGTTTTAGCAGTACTTATGTACACTCCCGCATAGACAATTGCCTTTTGAACAGGTAATTTTATCTTACCAATGTAAAGATGTTCAGGCGACACTATTTTTTTACTACATCCAAAAGTTAGGACAGCACTTTTGAACACATTGTATTTTAACTGCCACTTGTTACCATAATTTTCTGCAACGTTTAGGAGCATTTGAAGACCTGTTGTGTTACAGCTGATCAAGGTCGTGTCGTCTGCTAACAGTATTCCTTGGCATCGTCCCCATGGGAGACATAGTCCACAACCGGAATTGCTTAGTTCATGAAGCAAATCGTTTATATAAAGAGTAAAGAGCCATGCTGATATGACACGACCCTGACCTACACCCTGTTTAACAGGGAAAACATCAGATTTGAAGCCAGCAAAGCTAACACATGAGTACATAGAATTGTAAGACAAACGTAGAATTCTCCATAATTTACCATTGATACCAAATTTATGTAATTTGTAGAAGAGACCGTCAAGCCAAACACGATCGAAGGCTTTCTCGTTATCGAGGAAGGCACAATAAACTGGTGAGTTTCTTTCGTTAAAGTATGAAATACTTTCTAGAAGAGTGAGAGCCGCCGTTTCAGCACCAGCATTTTTTCTAAATCCAAACTGTAGTGGGTGAGGGAAGGTTACATCGTCGCTTATCCATTTTTCGATTCTGTTGAGAAGCATTCTTTCGAAAAGCTTACTTAGGACTGAAGTTAGTGTTATGCCCCTGTAGTTAGATGGATCACTTTTACTTTTTCCTCGTCCCTTATGTACTGGTAAGATTTCGCCAATATGATACATTTTGGGTATATATTCATGTTTAATAATAGCATTGAATAATACCATAATATGCTTTAATAAAGATCTTCCCGCATACTTAATATGTTCGTTTGTGAGCCCATCAGGTCCCGGAGATTTATTGTTTTTCAGTCCTTTAACTGTACTTACTACCTCTGCAATGGTGAATGGTCTCTTCAATGGATGGTTAGCAGTTACATCGGTATGAGCATCAGATGTTTCGTTGTTTTCAATATTTTTGACTGAGCATATTACTTCATCAGCAAAAGAGCAGTCAAAATGACTTTCCATGGTTGGGATTGACAAGTCTCGAAAGTATTTACCAAAGATTCCACAATTGTAATGACAAGATAGGCGTGTGTGTGGCTGTATGTTGTAATGACAAGGTGGGCGTGTGTGTGGATGTATGTTGTAATGACAAGGTGGGCGAGTGTGTGGCTGTATGTTGTAAGGACAAGGTGGACGAATATGTGGTTCCACGTTGTAAGGACAAGGCGGGCGTGTGTGTGGCTGTATGTTGTAATGACAATGAGGGCGCGTGTGTGTGGCTGTATGATGTATTGACAAGGTGGGCGTGTGTGTGGCTGTATGCTGTAATGACAAGGTGGGCGAGCGTGTGGCTGTATGTTGTTGACAAGATGGGCGAGTGTGTGGCTGTATGTTGTAAGGACAAGGTGGGCGAGTGTGTTGTTCCATTTTGTAAGGACAAGGTGGGCGTGTGTGTGGCAGTATGGTGTAGGAACAAGGTGGGCGTGTTTGTGGCTGTATGTTGTAATGACAAGATTGGCGTGTGTGTGTGGCTGTATGTTGTAATGACAAGGTGGGCGAGTGTGTGGCTGTATGTTGTAATGACAAGGTGGGCGAGTGTGTGGCTGTATGTTGTTGACAAAGTGGGCGAGTGTGTGGCTGTATGTTGTAATGACAATGAGGGCGCGTGTGTGTGGCTGTATGATGTAATGACAAGGTGGGCGTGTGTGTGGCTGTATGCTGTAATGACAAGGTGGGCGAGCGTGTGGCTGTATGTTGTTGACAAGATGGGCGAGTGTGTGGCTGTATGTTGTAAGGACAAGGTGGGCGAGTGTGTTGTTCCATTTTGTAAGGACAAGGTGGGCGTGTGTGTGGCAGTATGGTGTAGGAACAAGGTGGGCGTGTTTGTGGCTGTATGTTGTAATGACAAGATTGGCGTGTGTGTGTGGCTGTATGTTGTAATGACAAGGTGGGCGAGTGTGTGGCTGTATGTTGTAATGACAAGGTGGGCGAGTGTGTGGCTGTATGTTGTTGACAAAGTGGGCGAGTGTGTAGCTGTATGTTGTAAGGACAAGGTGGGCGAGTGTGTGGTTCTATCTTGTAAGGACAAGGTGGGCGTGTGTGTGGCTGTATATTGTAATGACAAGATAGGCGTGTGTGTGGCTGTATGTTGTAATGACAAGGTGGGCGTGTGTGTGGCTGTATATTGTAATGACAAGATAGGCGTGTGTGTGGCTGTATGTTGTAATGACAAGGTGGGCGTGTGTGTGGATGTATGTTGTAATGACAAGGTGGGCGAGTGTGTGGCTGTATGTTGTAAGGACAAGGTGGACGAATATGTGGTTCCACGTTGTAAGGACAAGGCGGGCGTGTGTGTGGCTGTATGTTGTAATGACAATGAGGGCGCGTGTGTGTGGCTGTATGATGTAATGACAAGGTGGGCGTGTGTGTGGTTCTATGTTGTAATGACAAGGTGGTCGTGTGTGTGGCAGTATGTTGTTATGACAAGGAGGGCGTGTGTGTGGCTGTATGTTGTAATGACAGGGCGGGCTTGTGTTTGGCTGTATGTTGTAATGACAAGGAGGGCGTTAGTGTGGCTGTATGTTATTATGACAAGGTGTGTTTGTGTGTGTGGTTCTATGTTGTTATGACAAGGTCGGCGAATGTGTGGCTGTATGTTTTAATGACAAGGTTGGCGAGTGTGTGGCAGTATCTTGTAATGACAAGGTGGACGTGTGTGCGGCTGTATGTTGTAATGTCAAGGAGGGCGTGTATGCTACTGTATGTTCTACTGACAAGGTGTGTGTGTGTGTGGTTCTATGTTGTAATGACAAGGTTGGCGAGTGTGTGGCAGTATCTTGTAATGACAAGGTGGACGTGTGTGTGGCTGTATGTTGTAATGTCAAGGAGGGCGTGTGTGTGGTAGTATGTTGTATTCACAAGGTGGGCATGTGTGTGGGTGTATGTTGTAATGACAAGGTGGGCGTGTATGTGGTTGTATGTTGTAATGACAAGATGGTCGTGTGTGTGGCTGTATGTTGTTGACAAGGTGGGCGAGTGTGTAGCTGTATGTTGTAATGACAAGGAGGGCGTGTGTGTGGCTGTATGTTGTAATGACAAGGTGGTCGTGTGTGTGGCAGTATGTTGTTATGACAAGGTGGGCGTGTGTGTGGCTGTATGTTGTAATGACAAGGTGTGTGTGCGTCTGTGGCTGTATGTTGTTGACAAGGTGGGCGTGTGTTTGGCTGCATGTTGTAAAAACAAGAAGGGCGTGTGTTTGGCTGCATGTTATAATGACAAGGTGGCCGTGTGTGTGGCTGTAGGTTGTTATGACAAGGTCGGCGAGTGTGCGGCTGTATGTTGTAATTACAAGGTGTGCGAGTGTCTGTATGTATGTTATTATGACAAGGTGAGTGTGTGGCTGTATGTTGTAATTACAAGGTGGGCGTGTGGTTGGCAGTATGTTGTAATGAAAAGGTGTGTGTGTGTGGTTCTATGTTGTAATGAAAAGGTGGGCTTGTTTGACGCTGTATGTTGTAATGACAAGGTGGGCGTGTGTGTGGCAGTATGTTGTAATGACAAGTTGGGCGAGTGTGTGGCTGTATGTAGTAATGACAAGGTGGGCGTGTGTGTGGCTGTATGTTGTAATGACAAGGTGGGCGTCTGTGTGACAGTATGTTTTAATGACTAGGTCGGCGTGTGTGTGGCAGTATGGTGTAGGGACAAGGTAGGCGTTTGTGTGGCTGTATGTTTTAATGACAAGGTGGGCGTGTGGGTGGCTGTATGGTGTAGGGACAAGGTTGGCGGGTGTGTGGTTCTATGTTGTAAGGACAAGGTGGTCGAGTGTGTGGTTCTATGTTGTTATGACAAGGTCGGCGTGTGTGTGGCTGTATGTTGTAATGACAAGTTGGGCGTGTATGTGGCTGTATGTTGTAATGAGAAGGTGGGCGTGTGTGTGGCTGTATGTTGTAATGACATGGTTGGCGTGTGTGTGGCTGTATGTTCTAAGGACAAGGTGGACGAGTGTGTGGTTCTATGTTGTAAGGACAAGGTGGGCGTGTGTGTGGATGTATGTTGTAATGACAAAGTGGGCATGTGTGTGGCTGTATGTTGTAATGACAAGGTGGTTGTGTGTGTGGCAGCATTTTGTAATGGCAAGGTGGGCGTGTGTGTCTATGCCTTTATAACAAGTTGTGCGAGCATGTGCCTTCGTCTCGTTCACAAGGCTGACGAGCGTGTGTCTATATGTGGTTGACAAGTGTGGGATGTAACATGGAGAACATGTCTGGCTGTGTGACTACATAGTGAACAATGCATACCTAAAGCGGGTATCAAATTAAACAGCTGTCATGAAGAAAATAAACTCTTAAAACTGAGAACGTGTCAAATTACAGTAGCAGACTGTACACGTGAGCTACTTGTAGCCTACATCCATTTGTTTTATGTACATAGTTTACATATCAGTTTGAGAGCTAGACACATCCCGTTGAAAGGTGTATAGCTTGAATAGCGAAGAACACCAGAAATGTTTTTCTCAAATTCCTGTAGGCGCTCCTAAATTAATGTTTTTGTCTCTTTTAAAAGTACATTAGCGTATGTTTCAGCATTAGTCAGTGTCATACCACTCGTGCGCATTCAGACACAGTCATCAGTGACCCCAACCCTTCTTGTAATTGAAGACTGAGATTGCCCGAAGAAAATGTGTCCAGCTGCAATACATTTAAAGACTGTAGAAGTTGACCGAAGGAAACGCGTCGATGTACATGGCCGTAACCGCAGTTTGAGTTGGAACTGAGGGAAACGCGTCGATATACATGACCGTAACAGCAGTCTGAACTGGAACTGAGGGAAACACCAAGGTACGTGACCGTTACCGCAGTCTCAATCGAGGGACATATTTCGTTTGTTTGTATTTGGTTGTATGTTGTTAAACGTCGAGTCTTGACTAGACAATCCAGTGATTCATAAACATGAGCATCGATCTACGCAATTACGCCACAATGACATGCATCAACCAAGTCAGGGAGACTGACACCCGATCCCATTAGTCGCTTCTTACGACAAGCATAGTTACTGCCAAAAACCTAATCTCACCCGGATCTTCACGAGTAGGTGTGTGTGAGTGAGTATGATGTTACGTCGCTTTTAGAAGAAAGTCCTGCAATATCACGGCGGGGGACACCAGAAATTGGCTTCGCACATTGTACCCATGTAGGGAATCGAACGCTTTAACCACTAGGCTACCTCACCACTACTCACGAGTTTGAAATGTATCGAATATATGAATACAAGTAATATTAACCCTCCATCAAGTACCTAATTCCATCAAGTATCTGTCGGGAGAAAACAGCTTATCGCATCCGATTGTGTCCCTTTCTGCACCACTCTAAGACATGATGCATCCTTTCAGATCTCCATTCATTTCGCATCAAATGTAAGCCGTTTAACATTTGTGCTACATAAGAAAGACATCTCGCCGCGGTCGGACTATTCTCGAACTGATGAGATGTTAGAACACGAGTTAACTCATTGGATAACATGTGTCGGTGTATGGCAACTTGTGAATAATCGTATTTCTATACAGAGGCAGTCCTGACGTTGTGGCATCAGTCGCGTGTATCTAAAGCTAGCAACACAAGCGAGTGTCTGTATGAATTCTATCTCTTTGAGTGAATAGAGGACTGGAGTCACCAGATCTATGTATTACAGGGGCGCAACTTCCAACGTATAATGTAAGTTCCTTCTACATACGAAAAGTATGATCTTCCATTTAAACCAATCCTGATGCACAAATTGAGTAATGAGGAGCGGCATGAAGTAAAGCTTCATGTTAATATGACCTTGAGGGTGAACATAGTCGTGTGTAACACATTCAGAGTTTTCCTTGGCGTATTTATTATTTCTATATCTGTGTTTTCCGACTTGTTTTCCATTGTTTTGCTACGAAATTATTTCTATGTTTTATTTTGGATGATATATATGTGTTGTTATTAACCCGATCTGGCAATGTAAGACATTGTAAGATGGGCTCTGGAATTAATTCGTCATTTGTAAAGTCAAGTTATTTGTTCACGCTGACACCAGTGGGTATCATTAGGCCATATGAGTTTACAGATTGTTTTAGTGTCGTCAAACTTTCCCTCTGTCCATACTTCTAATTCCACCTCCTAAACATTCCCTTTATCTAAATACGACCAAACCCTTTCTATATTCATAAGAAATCTTTGAATAACCTGTCAGAAATTATTCTTTGGACATGCAGTATCCTCATGACGGTCAACTCATCTCACACCTATCTGTCAACACGTCCTGCCTCTGCCTTGCCTCTGTTTCAGTCATATCACTGTTGGTGCAGTTCGACATATAGTTTCTTACCCTCATAATTACATGAAGCATAATGAATTCACATCCGTACTATGCTTGCTAGACGTCGCAGATATCACGTGCACCTAGGTGTAGTTGATATAACGTGGGTGTAGCTGATATTTCGTGTAAGTAGGTGTAGATGATAATACATGTACGTGAGTGTCGCTGATATTACATGAACGTGGATGTAACTGCTATTACATGTACGTGAGTGTAACTCATATTACGTGCACGCAGGAGTAGCTGATATTACGTGTACGTAGAAGCACCTGATATTACTTGTACGTAGGTGTATCAGATATTACGTGTAAGTAGGTGTAACTCATATTACGGTTAATCAGGTGGAGCTGTTATTACATGTACGTGGGTGTTTCAGATATTACGTGTACGTGGATGTACCTGATATTACGTGTACGTAGGTATATCAGATATTACGTGTACGTAGGTGTATCTGATATCACGTGTACGTAGAAGCACCTGATATTACGTGTACGTAGGTGTAGCTGATATTACGTGGACGTTGGCATAGTTGATATTACGTATACGTGGATATAGCTGACATTACGTGTACGTAGGTGTAGCTGATATTACATGTACGTGGGTTGTTACTGATATTACATGTACGTTTGTGTTGCTGATATTACATGAACGTGAGTGTAACTCATTTTGCAATCTAACTCATGTTACACCTGGCATCATAGTTAATCAGGTGTAGCTGATATTACATGTGCGTGGGTGTAAATGATATTACGTGTACGTAGGTGTATCAGATATTACGTGTACGTAGGTGTGTCTGATATCACGTGTACGTAGGTGTATCAGATATCACGTGTACGTAGGTGTATCTGATATCACGTGTACGTAGGTGTACCTGATATTACGTGTACGAAGGCGTATCTGATATTACGTGCACGTTGGCATAGTTGATATTACGTATACGTGGATATAGCTGGTATTATGTGTACGTAGGTGTAGCTGTTATTACGAGTACGTGGTGAAACTGATATTACGTTTACGCTTCTGTAATATTACATGTACGCGTGTGTAGCTTATTTCACGTGTACGTAGGTGTAGATGACATCACGTGTTAGAAAGTGTATATCACTGTTCGCAGGCTCCCTGAATGGGGTCATGATATCACTGCATCTTTCACACTTTATATTAGATTCATATTAATAGACGTGGATGTCTCGTTGAAGTCTGTAAATAACGTGTTATCAGCTCCCACAGGCCGATGTGTATGTTGAACATTATCTCGCTCACTCACTGATAACTCCCCCGCCACGGCCGATGACCCTGAGTCATGTAGAGGGTTTAGATATGCTCAGTCATCAAGTTTTAAATGCGTGATTCGTAACAATTACTTCAGAAAAATAAACAAATACCACCTATATTTCAATGCAACATATCATTCTCATAACCGTAAAAATTGTGTTTGAGTGCGGCACTTTTGTTATTTGTTATCAACACGAGCGCGAGAGTTTTTCACTGACAGCAAGTGTGTATGTGTTGTGTGACGGCTTCCTTGACATCATTAACAGGTGCCTAAATCATTTTAAATGTGTTCTCAATGACAGGTGCCTGTTAAATCAGAGGAGTATCTCCTTGTTATCAAAAACGTATGTATTAGGTTTTACGTTTATTCATGTAACCGTGATGAGGTACGTTCGTAAGTCAAAAACTTAGTAGATATTTCTTTTTAAGGGTAAAACAAACTCACATATCCATACTGAGTCAAATTAAAAACTTCACATTTTTAAACGTAATCCCATATATGATATACAACGGACAAATGTATCAGAGAAGGTAATTATTAATCATTAATGTCCAAAGAAGGATTTTAATTAACGGTGGTAACCATAATTTGTGCCAAGCACCTACGGTATTCGATAATAACGTCAACAGTTTAAATTATAAGTCCCAAGCACGAGAATCTGATGGCACACAAGTTCAGTAGCGTGTATGGCCACCATGTGCGTTGACAACTGCCACACAACGCCCACCGCATGGACCTTGTGATGCTTGTGAACACATGATTCGGAAGACGACGCCATTATTGCTGCAAATGGTGCTAAGATCTTGCAAATTCTGTGGTTGGTTCTGGAGAGTGCGCAGACTTGCCAAGAGCCAAGAGCATCCCGATGGGATTGAGGTCGGGAGACCATGACGGCCAGTCCATGACGTTGACTCCCGCATTCTGAAGGACATTCCTTGTCAAAATTGCTGTGTGGGGTCTGGCATTGTCGTGTTGGAAGATCAAACCGGGTCCATGTGCTGCCATAAAAGGCCGAAGTTCTGGTGCCAGTACCTGGTCGCGGTAAGCAGCAGCGTTGAGGTTGCCACGGATGACAAGAAGCCTGGAACGTGCATTGCCACAGAAAGCACCCCACACCATGACACTTCCGCCTCGAAATCTGTCAACTTCCTGTACACAACACTGGGCGTAACGTTCATGACGGCGCCTCCACACCCTCGCCCTACCATCAGCAAATCGAAGATTAAATCGGGATTCATCACTGAAGACGACTTGATTCCAATTCCTCTGAGTCCATCGTAATTGTCGCTGTGCCCACAATTGACGTTGACGTCTGTGTAATTGAGTCAGAATCGGCCCGCAGTATGGCCGTCGTGCTTGAAGGTGAGCAGTTCTCAGACGGTTTCGAACAGTTTGCGCACTCAGTCTACCCCAAACAGTTCATTTCTGGTTGATGTAGCCGTCAAAAATCAATCTGACGATCCTCTGCATGTGACGTCACACGTGGTCGACCTGACCGAGGGCGATCAGCGGTGGTACCCGTTTGCTGTAGACGCGTCTGTAAATCATTAACAGTCCGTCGACTACAACCCATCGTCCTTGCGACTTCAGCTACGGACGTTCCCGTCTGCATGCCGAAGACACGTTCACGTTGCACATTTGAAAGGCGTGGCATGACAAATGGCCGTAAAGACTTTTGTTTTCTTGTGTTTTCTTTTTTTGTTTATGACTGCTAACAAGTATGGCTGAAAACACGTGCGGTATTATGGCCACGTGACCAGTTGCACGTGAAAAACCACTTTTGCCACTATAGTGCTGTGCACATGATTTTGATCGATTCACCTGCACAAAAACGAGTGTTATCTGAAAACAAGACGTGGCCATTACTGTTTAAATACACAATAAGGGCCCACAATGATAACTGGTCAAAATGTTAAAATTTTAGGATTGTGAAGTTTTTAATTTGGTTCAGTATAGATATTATACCGTCTCTCGGTCGTTTTTTTCTAGATTTGTAATTATGTAAACTGTGTACAAATACCATGCGTCATTCCTCGCTTATTTACATTCGATGTCTTTTTCAAAGAAAGAATCTTCCTGACAATTGAGGATGCATGCCCTTGTGTTTATTCATCATCCTTGGCTAACTTACGTGCGAGAGCGATGTTGTTCCGAGACGGCAAAGCAGAAAGGTTTGGAAATAGTAGAATTTTTTCTCCACTTTGTCGATATCTGTAAGAAGTCCTTCGGCTAACCTAGTATTGATGCTCATATTCTGCCGCACTACAATTCCAAGCCGCATTGACGAGGACAATCATAACACAATACCTCAATATCCAGACAAACATTCATGGTCGAATTATCTCCCCCAAAAAGAACAATGATAAAACCACTCCTTAATATCCAGACAAACATTCATGGTCGCTTTATCTCCCCGACAACAACAATGATAAAACCACTCATTAATATCCATGCAAACACTCATGGTCGCATTATCTCCCTGACAAGAACAATCATGAAACCACTCCTTAATATCCATATCAACATTCATGCTAGTATTTTCTCCCCGACAAGAGCAATGATCAAACCACTCATTAATATCCATGCAAACATTCATGGGCGCATTATCTCCCCTACAAGAACGATTATGAAACCACTCCTTAATATCCACGCAATCACTCATGGTCGCATTATCTCCCCGACAACAACAATGATAAAACCATTCCTTAATATCCACGCAAACATTTATGGTCGTATTATATACCCGACAAGAACAATGATGAAAACACTCATTAATATCCATGAAAACACTCATGGTCGCATTATCTCCCCGACAACAACAATGATAAAACCATTCCTTAATATCCACGCAAAAATTAATGGTCGCATTGTTTCCCCGACAAAAACAATTATAAAACGACTCCTTAATATCCACGCAAACACTCATGGTCGCATTATCTCCCCGACAAGAACAATCATAAATCCACTCCTTAATATCCATGCAAACATTCATGGTAGCATTATCTCCCCGACAAGAACAATGATAAAACCACTCCTTAATATCTACACTAACATTCATGCTCGTATTATCTCCCCGACAAGAACAATCAT